ATATATACTTTATGTATAACAAACGATTGTTTTATTTATAAATGTTTCATAAATAAAAATCCAAACAACAGACAGCATCAGTCTTGGTTTAAATGATCTCTCGGCAGTGTTCATATTTCACCGTTGTGTTCCTGTTCGTCTTTATTTATTCAATTGGTCATGACTTATTATTCCATTCTCAGGCCAATTACAGTGAAACATCCTTTAGTTCTCATCAACACCCCCACGTGCGCACCGTGTGGTGCGGTGCGAACCGCGTCAAGATAAACAAACACGAGGTAGTGAGCAGAAAAAATGAGGAACTCTTATTAAACCACCAAAATAAATCAGCTAAACATTAATTATAACAACGCGTGTCTGATCCTGACCGATTTCACACCGCTCTCGCTCGATCCTTTATCCTTCTGTGTGTTTGTGTGTGTGTGTGTGTGTGTGTGAGACATTCTGCTGCTGCTGCTGCTCTAATAGGCAGTCTCTTAGATATTCGCTACAGAATGGTGCTCATGCAATATTAATATCACACCAAAATATGGAAGCTGAAGCCCCTACACCATCTCTCACTCTCTCCCTAATTGATTATGCAAGGCTCAGAATCAGCTTGGAAAGGGTGAGCGAGAGAGGGAGAGAGAGAGAGAGAGAGAGAGGGGGAAGCTGGAAAGAGGCAGAGACAGAGAGCCCTGAAACAATCCTGTCATCTTTGTGCTGCAGTACATTTTGAACCTTCACCCTATATATTACTGTCAAGACAGTGGAGCTGAAACAACAACAACAACAACAACAACAAAAGTACAATGTTGCTCAAACAGTCTGACTTCCTGAAAAGACGACACTGATGCTCATCCAACAAACCCCTCAATCCAGCAGCTCCTGGTGAATTGACTTCAACGCATGTCGTGATTGGGTGTCAGTGACACCTGTAGTCGTGTGACCGGCGGCAGTGACACGTAACAAGCCCTGTGTTTATTTAACGTTTGATGAAATATAACCATCAACAATAACCCAGTGTCATTTACAGAACTTTTATTATTGGCTGTAATTTTCTTTAGGGCTGTACAGTGGTGCAGCGGTCAAAGCTTAGTCTGTGGTAGGTTTAGATTTTTGTTTTCTTTGTTCTCATTTTACCACCCTCTAGACTTCATGTACATTCCTCTATTTTTAGCCCTGATTTTAATGTTCATGTAATGACTCACAAACAAAGTCTTTGTTTAATTCCCATGAATTTTAGATTTTTCGAATCCACGACCGTATGACCATTTTTACATTGATGCCCCTAAGATGGACTGGCGACCCAAGCTTTGTTGACATTCAACTCCAAAAGAGCCATTTTTATCATTTCGCTACTAAGTCAATTTGAAAACCGCACAAACGGAAAAATGCAACTGTTTAAATAGAGACAGCAGTGCAGTGTATATACGTTTAATGTAGTACTACTACAGTGCTATGTAGGGTTACATAAAGGAAGCATTTTTGTTGTTGTTTACCTATTATACCACAGAAAAACACTAGATGCAAATTTAGCGTTGTAACAAATCTTTACATTGTTACTATAGGATAAAGAGCACAGTGACATTATGTTGTTTTGTTAGCAACAAACTCCAAATCCACACTGATTGATTCGAGTCCATTAACAAAATTTAAATACCATCCTGCATGCGCACATTGCAAAAACCCTGAAGTGCTGTATGTGAGTCAAGAGCCAGAGGTTGGAGACCTCCGTATTAGATGTACATGCACGTTTCAGTACTGCTTGAGGGAATGGTCTGATTAATTCAGAGAGCTCCGTGGGTCGTGTCCTTTGCACTGAGCATTTGAAACAGTGAACTAAAGGCACAATAGATGTTGAGGAGAAGGGAGAGAGTAAAAGGGCTCAGTGAGTGGTTGGGTGAGGGCGAGGGTGAGGGTGAGGGTGGGGGTGCAGCGCACCTTGACAGGAAACACAGAGGTGATGAGCAGGAGTCGGAGGTTAGTATGACAAAGAGAAGAGTAGTGGTGGTTGTCAATGGGGTGAGAGGCGGGGGTGCTACGGAAGTTCCAAGCCCACTTTTAACTGAACCATGTATGGAGAGTGCAGTGGAGGTGGAAGTGGTGGTGGTGGTAAGATGTGGGAGGGCCAGAGATAGAGATCAGGGGGAGAGTATGAAGAAAAAAAATGGGTGTGCAGGGATAGGAAGAGGGGAGGAAGCAGAAATGGGTGAGACGAGCTGGGGGTTAAGAGGGAAGGAGGGTGGGGGGGCAGAGACCTACTGCACCTTTTGCACTTGCTCTCACCACAACACCTGATAAGTGCAATGGAAAAATGTCTGGTTTCCTCCTGCATGGTAAGTGGTTTATATTCCTGTGCTCGTCGTGCAGCCTGTAGCTACAGTCTGCTGCTACTGTTGTGATGCTACACCAAGGTAATAACAGTCAAAAGGAAATGAGAGGAAAACCAAAGAATGTGGCAGAAAATAGCATACGCTGTCTCCTTTTGATGAATTGCAGCGTGTTGCTGCAAAACAGAAAACACGGAGGGAACTTAAGGTGCACATTGTTTCTGGCTCTGCATCAACATTTATCCATCTTCTTTTTTTTTTTTTTTTTTAGTTTCTATTTATACTGTGGGGGCTGAGAAACGATTGGACTTCAGTCTGATTAATCACAGGGCAGCCGTGGATTAATCATGATAATTGTGATTGTGATTAAGTGTGATTAATCATGATTAATCAACATTCTGAAATATAAAAAAAAACAAAAAACCTTTTCGGTGGTAGCTGCACACACGTTATTATTTATGACAAATCCAAATGATTGAATTATTAATTCAATCAGTGGTTGATTTTAGTCATTACTGTGCAACTGGACTATGGCTTGTAGAACGTGTTGCGACTTTCCAAACTTCCTTGAAAACCTCAACAATATTAATCAGTCTACAGTCAATGGCATTTCCTTTGTCAGTCGGCTTGTCAACCGTAGACTCAACGCTCAGTGAGGCTGCTCTCATACGCTGTCCGCGTCAGACCAGAAGCTAAAGCCACACCGAATGCATGCTGGGTGTTGAGATGATATTTCGAGCTCTACGTGGTTTGTGAAACAAAAACTTTTCCTGAAGTGTGTGAAAATGACAGTGTGTGTGTATTGACTGTGAGTTACAGCAACAATCTGCCATAAAAGCCATACTGTTTTTCTGTGATAAATCAATGAACGAGCCTCACGCCTTCATCTCTGCAGCCCTGGTTTTTTTCATGAATCTATATATGCAGATGACATGCTGTTAAATCTGCACAACACAAAGCAACGACTTGCAGATGGACATCTTAACTACCTCACACGTCCTGACAAGGGACTCACTTCTATGATTTGTAAGTGCACACAACAGCATTGTCCATATTCACTTCAGATAACATATTATTGCAGGCGGGGGTGGGGAAGGGTGACTTTCTCAGAAATGCTTTGTTAGCACTCTCTCTCTCTCTCTCTCTCCTTGATAAATGATTTAGGACATGTGGCCTAAGACATCAATACAATCTCTGTTGTAATTAAAAAAAAGGTGTGCACACCAACAATATTACGCAGCTTTCACTTTGTCTGTCTCTCTCTGTCTTACTCACTCGCTCACTGAGCCTCTGGGGCCAGTGAGGAGATAATTCGAAAACTCAGCGGCATGAAGTGAGACATGAAAAAAAAAGGTAGGGGGGAGGAAGGGGGAGTCATAAGAAATTAAATTGTCTCTTTTTGCTCTTTTGTTCATTCATTTTCTCCCCATTGTTACGTAAACACATAAAAGCAGGATAAGCCAGATTCTAATTATGATTTCTCCAACAATGAAAGATTTGACTTAAATTAAAAACTACAGACAAACCAGGTGGACTGTTCCGACTGTTCCAGCACTTTGTCAAAGTCAAAGTAGTCTGAGTGCTGCGTCGCTAAACTTCAATGAGGCCAATCTCCTTCCTTTCTGACAATTACAGTCGTGAATAAAATAGTCCAATAATTTAACTTTGATGTCTCGGTAAATCAGCTTACTGAGAGAAAGTTAAAAAAATTCAACTACTTTTCCTTCAGAACTATTACTTCTCTGTCGTTGTTGTTATTTTATCTATAAGGAAACATTCCATGGTCAAACAAACACCCACAGTGATGCATTCATGGTCATGTCTCAGTGTCAGTTGATGTGACCTGAAAATTCTTGTGTAACAGGAGGTCTGTAGGAAGACAACTTTCTTACCCTAGTAGAGGGCAGTCTCTTGCCGTCAGGGTTCGGGCGCATGGGCAGGGAACTGTAGAGCCTCACGCCTCGATCAGCCGCAACGTATCTGCTCTGAAAAGTAAAGAAGAAAACAATGGTAAAGTCACCTGTTTTACAAGGATGACAACAGGGAAATCACAGATGGATGAAGTGATTCTGACTTAAGTATCAAGGAAGAGTCATTTCGGAGTTTGTAAACAAAGAACACGCAACTCCATTTTTTACCCTACAGGGGGTGCGATTGAGCATCGTTCTTTTATGCTAATTTAATTTTGTAGCTTCTTTAAAGACCTTCTGAAAGAACGTGAGGCATTTAGCTTTAGAGCTAGCAAATTTTCAACTGGATATAAAGAGTTTTAGTGAGAAATGTGCAACATGTGACATGTGTGTAGCTGAGTTGGTAGTGTCCGCAGCAGACTGTAGGATTACTGTTGTGTTGGACAAATACTGTTAGCAATAAGCACTTGACAATTGGCAAAAACATACACCCAGACAATGATGCCTTTTTTGTAAATATTAAACAGAAAAAAGAAAAATTCTAAAAGTTCTATGTTCTAACCTGATCATACAATTGTTTTTTTTTTTTGTGATCCAAAAAGTTAAAATATTTCAATATTTATCACCGTTCTATTTATCTAAACCAGACGTGGGTAACCTTTTTGACTAGAGGGCCACAATTGGTCCTAAAGTTTGACAGGGGGCCAAGTCAGGGGCAAATAGATGGAGCGTTAAGATAAATGACATGTAAAAGTCATGCGTAAAGGCTAAAATATCAGGAAAGTGATCTAAGTTTTCATTATATGTTTTTGAAGTCTATTTTGTTCAAAAGTAACCTGCTTGTTAATATGAATCAGTACTGTAGAGCACCTAGTGTTTGTCTTGCAGTTCTGCTTGTGATGCCCATTTTGTTATTGAAATCACTGCCATAAATTCCCACTGAAACACAAAGAAACCTGAACCCTGGCTGCTATGTCAGATCCCATCCCCTCATGGTGATGTGCCACACATTATAATGGATAAGATTTGGTCATCAGCAGCACTAATGGAGCCCAGCTGAGGTGTTTGGTATCCAGACTTCCTGCTGTAGCTGTTGCCTCCAACTTTCTGTATTTTACACTGTGGATAATTGCGGTGCAGTGGGTTCTCTGCACCCCTGCCAGCTCCATCATGTGCTTCCCTGTGTGGCTTTCAGCTGTGCAAGACGACCTGCAGAAGTGTTGGCAGAGCCCTGTGTGGTTGGAAAGCTAATGATTTTCAACAAGTGGTTCCTGCCAGGAAGAGACTGTGCAGCTCAGTGGTGTTCACACCATGGTTCACAGTCATGGTAATGGTACATCACAGAAATCACTTCAGATCTTACACTTTTTAAACTCTGCCTTTTTCCCCCCTTTAACTTAATTTATTCAGCATTTATTCCACTGCCTAACAGCCAGTACGTGCAGTTTTTATATCAAATCTCTTACTGATTTGCAAAGCTGTGAAAATGTGAGCGTGTCGATAAAATGATTCATTTCTGTACGTCTCTTATAGCTTTGGTGGTTTCCAAACTTTTTTTTGCAGCGATGCCTCTTTTGTCAACACAGTCAAAATTATAGTTTCTAAACAACTTAAAAAAAAACAACTTCATTTGAAACATTAATTTCTTAATTTTTAAACCAATTACAAATAACTTCATATTTCTTTCTAGGGCAAAAAAAAATGTGGCTAGCTGTGTCAACCCATAATAAATATGCACAGGTCCTCTAGTGGGACACGCCCCCCACTTTATTAACCTTTGTTGAATGTAATAATGCATAACAAGATGAGTCATGAGGACAGACGGTTCTATATTATTTTTATTTTCCTCATTTTCACAATAATTTGAAAATATTCTGTCCTAAGCAACTGAATGAAACTTAAAAGGGGAACAAAGATTAAACCCTAAAATCCTGAAATTTCCACAATGTCGCCGTTTCCCCAAAACAAAAACAAAACCGATACCACGAAATGATTGGCCAGTGTAACGTAACAAACCGATGTTCATCAGTTTCCCTAAGCCTCATAGAAACAACATCAAAATACAGATTTTGAATATATACCAGTACAGTGGTTAAAATGCAGTTTGTCACGAACCACTGCAACACCGGGCAGATATTTAAACTAAAGCAGGCTCGCGGTGTGGAACACAAGCTCAAAGTGTGATTTATACTCTATAAGCAGCATTCTATGCAGTGCAGTGAAGTGTATGCATTATAGAATGCTGATGTGGGTGGAGGGCCTACTGTATGTGGCTGAATGCACAAGCCGTACAGGCTGTACATAAACAGACATATTTGCTGTGTAAGGCTTTGATTTTCCTGCGCTCATTATGAGAGGTGAAAACAGATGAGTGGACGGCTGTGGTCATCCCGTCGATACCGTTAGCAAAAATGATGACGCTGCCCGATAGAAAGGAAAAACAAAACACTTTTAAACACATTTTTTCCGCCGGAGCTCAGCCTCCAGCTCCAGCAGAGAAGCATTAGGATATACATCTGATTCTATAGTAAAAAATAAATACCTATTTCTCCAGCTGTTGACAATTATATAACAGTGTTTGTTGATCTGATTTCATTAGCACCGTCGGAGAATATCGGAAATCGGTGTCTTAGTCCTTGTACATCCTCCAGTCATACGTACTATGCCTTTTCTCTTTAGCCAAGCAGCTACTGTGTCTGCTAACCACATGCCTCGCTGGAGACTGTTTTCATTCTTGTTAGGTGGCTTGCCAGCATCGCAGCTAAATAAATGCCTCAAAGAAAGGCGGCCCCGTCCAGCCAAGCGTCCGCAGCGTGAGAATAAGTGAATGTTTGATATTTCTCCAGTGTGCCAGGATAATCTGGCCCTGTGGCATGCCATTACGGGGCTAATAACAGCTGTCTGTGGCCTGGAGGGGACACAAGCAGGTCTGGCTACGCTAACTGGCCCTGACAGACTCATTAGGAGTGTTGGCACCCACAACTGCCAGAGCCAGACTCCTCACATTTACTCGCTGGCTCACGAGGGTTTGCAAGTGCAAGAAGCATTGTTCTCTACACTTGTTCCCTGACACCTTTTGTTTGGGTTTTCACCCTCGACTTCAGACGTACTCGACCCGGTCACCTCTCCTTCACACCCTGGAGTTAAGTTTTTAAAAACAAAACATAACATGTTTTTAGTGTAGCTGGAATAGTTCCCAGAATGCAATAAGAGTTTTGGATTGTTTACTAATTTGCTAATTTGCTTGAAACATTTACTCACAGGCATGGAAAGTGTTTTCACTAGGAAAACAATATGTGACGCATGAATCATTTTTGAAACTGTCGCCTGCAACACACTGTTCAAATAGCCACAATAGGACTCTAAAATCATATAAGTTACAGTTTGGAAGATGCTTTAAATAGTTTGTTCCTCAGAGTTGGGTATCAAGAATGGATATAAAAAAAGAAGCCTCCCCCAAAGGCTTGTAAGCTAGAATGGGTTTGTAGCAACATATGCTTTTAATAAGATTTCTCTACCAAGAATGGCATGAATATTTCAGAGGGACAATGCTAAACAATCTCTAAACCCACAAAAGGTAATACGGCGGTGGAAAAAAAAGGTACGTTGTCTAACCAATTTGCTCACTCAGATATTACGACTCATTTTGGTTTGCAGTGACAGGAAGTTGCTGCACCACACCAGGAAAACACTGGCATCCTCTGAACTTTGTAGCCGTAGCTGCAACTGTTTGTGGACAAGTGGGACTTCCCCCCCAAAAAAAACAAACACGAAAAGGAAACGTTGCCATGTCGCTTGATAGGTCACATCAGCAGTAACATCAGACAATGGACATAAAGATCCAGTGATGGCTGTCTGGGTCGATGAGTAATGACAATACTCATATACATATATGCAAATATGTATATATACATATATATTTACATATATATTTATATGTGTAAATATATATGTATATATCTATATATACATATATATTTATGTATATATGTGTATGTATATATACATATACCTTATGTACATATACATACACACACAAATATATATATACGTATATATTTATATATGTAAATATATACTGTATGTATATATCTATATATACATATATATTTATGTATATATGTGTATGTATATATACATATACAGTATATGTGGGTATAAAAACTTTTTATTTCCAAAATTATTCCACAAAATATTTTTTCAAAATCAAAACTCTTGTTTCTCCCCACAGCACAGCAGACCCTGTGCTGCTACACCTACTCATTAGATATGAGTGCAGGCTCTGGCTTTTTATGGGCTGAGCTGGTGGGGGCACTGTAAAGCCAGGGGCACAGCTGTGGGATTACAGTTACCTGTAACATTAGCAGTTGCTATTATATTATTTACGCAGATCTGGATTTAATGGAACACATGTGTGTGTGTGTCTGTAGACAACATTCTTCCCAGATTAGCTGTGAGGCCTGCACACATTGAAACTCCACCAATGAGAGGAATGCAGGGTCCAGACGGGCTTATGATGAAACCCAATCACTCATCTACGTTATACAGTATTTACAACCGGTGCACGGACGCACACAATAACTTTGCTTTGCACACATGCCATATTTATACATAAATGGGGCGCGAGTTTCGTACTCAATGTACAGCGTGCACGCCACAGCACTTGCAGTTCAGTTTAGTTCAGCTCAGTATCTCTGTGCTGATTGGATTTTTTTTATTATTATTCTAAGAATCTTAAGTGTAAAACACCATCATCATCATCACCTAGAATGTGTTTGTGGAGACTTCAACTTCAGGTCCGAGGCCCAGCGAGGGTCAGACCTGTTCAGTTTTTGGAAGCAACACTTCATGCAACTCTCTCAGCTTTTCTATTTTATAAAAAAAAAAAAGAAAATTATAATGTTGACTCATCTACTACACTGAAAGTACCATCTGTGAGGTTGGACATTGGAGACACTGACATTTAAATGTTTATACAGGGCAGAGGCTGTACCAGGAAAAGACGCTAATTACAGTATCATACAGTACTTTATGAGTCTTGCGACCGTTTTAAAGCTACGGTACACAATACTTAATACAAGCCATCATTTCACAGTGGGAATGACTCATAGAATTGGATCACTGTTCTGTACGCATTGATCACAGTTGTTCAGATATTCATAGTCAAGTTCTACACAAATCAATGGCTACAGTGTGTTACCTTCATGTTGCACTTGACTGCAGACCAGATCGGTTTCCATGCATTGTGTTTGTAAGTGCAGTGGGAGTGGTGTGTGTGTGTGTGTGTGTGTGTGTGTGTGTGTAAGGTAAAGAGTAAAACACATAAGGAGCTCAACCATAACCAAGGCATGAACCCAGCAGCTACTACCTGCCTCAGGCCAACACTGATCACACCTCTGGGATTATCCAGCCAATAGCAGCATTAGAGCTAAAGGCTATTTATAACCGACAGCATGGACCTCCACCCCCCACCCCCCCACCCCACCCACTGATACTGGGATACACTGAAACGTTGGGGTTTAGGGTTTGGAGTCAGCTAAAGTAACATCGTACAGTAACATCACTGTATGTGTGTGTGGAAGAACGACATTTATATTTTCTCTGGACTTTAGATTCTCTGGACTTGTCACCAAACCCTAGTCTAGAAAAAAAAACGACCCCAACATTGTACTGGTATTGTAACAATACACAGTAACCAGATCTACAACTTAAAGTTGAGAAGTAGTAAAATGTCTCAAGACAAAATCAACAACTTCTGACTTTTCACAGCTCTGACCCCCCCCCCCCCTTCACTTGCTCTTGACTTCCGTCTCTACTGCGACACAGAAAGCCGAGCTTCAGGAACAAAACAACAGAGCACAGCTCTGCTGAGGTGTGAAATTCACCAGCGCCTTCTAAAGTTTTACTCAACCAAGTATACAAAGTACAGCCGAGTGCACGTACAAGATAAGTTTCATTAACTATAATATAACTAACTATATGTTTGGGCCACCTCAGCAGAAGACTGGATTTACTGATGTAATTAAAGGCTGGCTCTGTACCCTGGTGGGTTTCTACTTCTTCTTCTTTTTATAGAATATATTAAAGCACATAATTAAAACATTAAGTTTTGTTTTCTATTTCAAATGATTAAGTGTTATTAAAAAAATTAATCTACCTCGAGTTGAAGTAAGTAGCAGACAGACAGTTGAAAAATGGCATCACAGATGTTATCATTTTGCTTTGTTCCCTCTCACAAATGACTTCTTCTGTCTCTCTTTGTGTATTACACAGAAATGAAGGTAGTCAGAGTGAAAACCTGAAGTACAGACTATGTCCCTCCTGCTGATACTGAAAAGGAAAAAAATACATTTATGGTTTGTTGGGGTTTTTTTTCTGTTTTTTAAGCCTTTCATCTTCTTTTTTTACAATGCTGTTTCCTGATAATAAACCTACAGAATTTTACAATAACACAACTGACAAACCAACAACTAACAAGCAGAGCAGGGTTTAATACCACAAATGATCGTGCTGAAGGAAGTAAACAGATGGCTAGAGTGAGACGGAGCTCATAAAAAAGCTACATGGTTTTTTGGGGGGTTTTTTTGTTTATACTATGGCACTATTTTTAAAGCTAATCAAATTGATTTAATGGCAAAAACAAAAACATGTATCCTCGCCGACACAACAGCAACAGAGGAAAATGAGTGATAATCAAGTGGGAAAATAAACAAAACTATTTTATTGTATTTAAAATTTGACAATTGAGGGCATTTTACAATTATGTAAAAAAAAATGTTTTAAAGAAAACTTCTGTAAACTAACCTAAATTTCAGGTTCACAAACAAGTTTTATTTGTCACTTTTGCTTTTTATTTTAATGAACTGCATCCTGTGTGTCAAAATGAAGAAATTCATTATTTATCTTTATTATTGTAATGTTTTGTAGTGTTTGTTTTTGTAGTGATTTTTTCACATTGACGTGCGAGCGACAAACGCAGCGAAATTTGTAGCGTTCAGCGAATTTAGAAGTTCAGTCACATCATCAGAGCGAGTGGATGAGAGAGAGAGAGAGAGCTAGGGTGAGAGAGTGGGTTTGAGGAGTTGCGACTTGATCTGCTGACTACAGGCACTTGATTTGGTTTCACAGAGCATTGTTACGGTGCTTTGAATTAATGCCTCCCAAAGAGTCCAATTGAGATTCTTGAGTTGTGCTGACAGAATATTAGACGGCCTGGGGTGGAGCTGCTGATCTCAGCTGGATCCTCTGTCCGTGTGTGTGTGTGTGAGAGAGAGAGAGAGAGAGAGAGAGAGAGAGGTTGATCTTTTATACACATACAAATATGGTCACATACAGTAAGATTAGATGTGCAGAAACAGTCAAAACACTTACAGTTTTTTATATTTCCCAGCACTTCATAATTATTTTCCTGCTCTCACTCTAATTCCATCCCAACTTCAAACTAAAATAACCCTCATAATTCCCTTGGGGACCTGCTTAGTTTCCCCAAAAACCAAAAAGTGTCCCCACATGTGTAGATATATTTAAAACTCTCATGTAATCCTATAAAACCTATATACATGGCTACAGTTTATTAATTAACAAACAAAACAATTGAAACATATTTTCAAAAAAATCCTCAAATCATTTTTGACATCTAGTTATGGGCCAGATTTGGTGGTGTTCGCAGGCAGGAAGTGGGCCCTGTGCCACATGTTTGAAACATCTGACATTCTGTCAATTTTGCCTTAAGATTTAAATAATTACAGTAAAACTTGTATTTTCTACGTCTGCATCTCTGTTCCCATCTCTCCCGCTCTCCTCTTTTGCGTCCTTCTTTGAGTGCCACGGCGCCCCCTAATTAGACATTCCCCCTCTGACCAACCAAAATTGAATTGGCCATCATTTGCATAATGGGAGCTCACTGCGCCGACGGCTGATTTACCATGAGATGAAATGTAGCAATCACTTAAGAGAGTGACCATGAGGGGAGGAAGAGGAAGGAATACAGAGAGAGAGGAGGGGAGGGGAGGGGAGGGGGGGTATGAAGATGAAATGGGATCACAAAGATAGAGCGAGGTTTGGAGTAAGAGAGAGTGGAGAGAGGGAGAGAGAAACAGAGACGTCTGACAGGTATTGAGGTTATTGTCATTTACAGTAATATTGCTGAAAGGAAGGCTGTGGCCTCAACCTGACAGCAGGAAGACACAACAAGGACACGCCAGGGCAATTATGTAACACTGATCCACTGATCCATGAAACACAGATGTAGGACGTTTGACTCTCTACTTTAGAATTCAGCTTTTTAGCTCCTTTACATTTTGGAGAATTTCTCTGCTTAACACCCAGTGATACTGTCCGGTAGGGGAGTGGTGACAAATGAGGGACTGTAGGTTGGTCTGGAAAATACTAGCACGGTTGGTATTTAAAACTGATATGTAACAGTATTCACACCAGAAAAGGTGAAGATTTTATTTCGACCACACCTTCAAGGAAATTACTTTTGATTTCTGTCTTTGTCAGTTGTTTTAACAGCGAAAGTTTGAATTATGATTTGGCAAATGTGGATCAACCAAACCCATGTTCCACCAGTGTTGGGTGTTTGGGTGGTGCACCTTTCACCAATCCGCTCATCTTCTACTGCTAAATCAGTTTCAGTGTCGTGGTTGGAGCTGGAGCCAATCCCAGCAGCCATTGGGTCAAGGCGGTGTAGACTGTCCTGTAGACCTGTTAGCCCAACCTCTAATCACTTTTTTATTAAACCCACTCTCTGCTTTATACAGTCAATGGTCTTTTAAGGCAGGGGTCCCTAACCCCCGGTCCAGGGACCAGTGCCAGTCCTTCATTGTCATTTTGGTACCAGGCTGCAGTGGGACACAGTGCGAAAGTATACTTCAGTTTTACTAATTTGCTTCATTGTGTCTGGACGGAGTAGGTTACTTGAAGATGTTTCTCCTCTCATCAAAGAGGCTTCTTCAGTTCTGCCTCTTGGGTGAGAGGTGAAAGGTCATCAAGAAACCTACTCCGTCCAGTTGCCCTCAATGTAACTGAAAATGAAAATCGTGTTTCACAACAACAGGTCATCCAGACTCTGATACTAACAGAAGAAAGTAAAAGATGTTTTATTCTGAAAATGCAATGATCCTTCAAGGATGGCGAGGTATTATCAGGCCGACCCTAGAGTTCCATGGAAGGCCTGACAATGTTGCCTACTGTCAGTAGTGGGGGAGGGAATGGGGGGGAGGTGCTGATGCCTGTGGTGCAGAGGTCATTTTTGTTTCAAATATTCAGTGTGATATGTTTGCCTATAAGGTTGGAAGCTCTGTCAGGAGTCTGATAAGAGCACTGTTCATTGTCTCACTTCCACTCCACAACCTGAGGAACTTCACACATACACACATGAACACACGGTACTTTCCACAACGTCTAAGTGTGTGTGCTGAATGTGCATAACTGTGTGTGTGTGTATTACTGTCACGACTTAATAGAACGAGAAAAAGCTGTGCAGATGTGCTACAGCCTACGACGAGTCAGGGCAGGCTAACGCACACACATTCATGCAAATAGACAGTGATTGAACAAATCAAATTTCTTCAACTCCTCTTCCTCCTCTTCCTCCGTCCATCTCTACATATGTGATCAGTGATCACATGTCGCATGTTAAAGCCAGCCGGGCCCAGACAAGAGGGAGTTAAGTCTCTTATCTCTTCGCCCCAGAAGAAATTCCTACTAGAGGCCTCGCTCTGCTGGTTTCCTGCCTTCTTGCCCAATGCCCTATTTTTACTCATCGGAGCTCTAGAGTATGAGGGGCAGCTTTTTCCTTGTCACTAACACGTTTCCTGCCATTCTCACTCTGACATTTCTCTCCTCTGCACACTCTGTCCAAATCAACCCCCCCCACACTCGCCCCGCCAAGCCTTTATGGGTCGTAACCTTTGAGTCAGAGACATTTATATTCTAATGTACCTGCCGATGTAGGAACCAGTGACGGATCATCTCTCACTCTCTGCACGTCTACAGGTTTCTGTTGCCATCTTTTCATACCTGTTCTTAGTTGTTGTGGTGAACTCTAAAACTGTGAGGTTTTATCATGGCTGGCTTAGTTGTTTCCATTGGAGAAGCAGATCATGTAAATCACAGGTAAAATGATACATGTACTGTGGCAGCAACAGTACTGGGTCACTGGAGATAGTTCTTTTTTTTTACTTCTGTGAATTTGGGTCATGTGGTTTGGTATCTTTAAATCTGGAGCCATGAAAAAGATATTTAACAGGAAATATTTTCCTTTGTAAAAAAAATAATATTCTTGAAGTACATTAAAGTACTATAGTGCAGTTTCCCAAACTTTTTTTCTGGGGTCCCATATTTCAAAAGTCACAAACCTTCGCGGCCCAAGTCAATACATTATTCGTAAACTCCTGGGAAACATGATGCGAGACGACCCCCCCCACAAAAAAAAAAAATCTCTTGCGACCCACCTGAGGGTCGCGACCATGTCTTTGGGAAACAATTCTATTGTGTGCCCATTGACATATGAAACAAAGTGTTCTTACGAACTTTTGAAACAAAAGCAAAAACAAAATAATAAAATGTCATCATCCATCCCATAGTGTATGTTTTAATTAGATAATGAAAAATGCTGAATTACCACTTTAACAGTTTGAACATAAAACTGACTTGAAATTGATTCTACAAAACAATTCTCCGGAAATGCTGAATTATAAGAGCTAACAAACACGTGTTAAAAATGTTAATTTAAGATCATAAATATCCTACATAAACAAAGTGTTAAAACTGCAGGATAAAGTGAAGGTGAATTAGTAAACAACATTTATGGTGTGCATATCATTTATAGAAAGATCTCAATAACCACTTTTGTTTAGGATATTTTAGTGAGTTAAAATATTGAGGAAACGTCAACATAAAAAAATCTAAAATTGTTCTTAAACCTTTACGAGGCATCAATTAACATCCACTCTATCTAAACATCTTTTTATGTTCACTTTAATTTGTTTTTCAGCCATTACAATGTATTTCTCCAATTATGTAACTTATTTTTCATATTGAGGCTGCATTAAATTCATGTATATTTTGGTAGTCAAGACTGTTTTGTATTTATTATATATTGTTGAACACATCATTTTTAATAAGCTGAATCATGGAATCAACCTGTGGGTTGTGAACTGGCCTTTTTCTAAGCTGTCTGTGCAACAAGGTGAACTCAAACGTACTGCACTTCACTCACTCTGGAGCCTCGGGTACAGACCGTGCAGTGTAGGAATTTAAAGTAACAGGCGGCGTCTGAAGGCCTGAGAAGAATGAGCGTCAGTTGAATGGACGCCACAGGACGACATGATATCAGACACTGACCACTTCACTGCACTGCCATCCTTTTCATACAACAGCGCTGGTATAAAACAGGTGGATGGAGACTGGCTTAAGAACATGAGGATGTTTCGCTGCTGTTTTTCTCTCCCACCAATGTCCAATCACTTGAGCTCTCAATGTGAATTTCCAGTCAGAAGTCTGATGATTAATTGTACACAAATATATATATAGCGACCCGGCCCCGGATAAGCGGTTGATGATGGATGGATGGATGGATATACATATAGTAATATTTTCATGCCACAATACATTTTGAATTTATAAAAATTGCCTTTTCATTTAAATATGCACTTCAAAAAAAGCATTCAGTCTCCTCAGTAGTAGAGGTAACGCAGACCTAAATATCATTTTCTATTCTTTTCCAACTTACAGTAATTCATTTCATGCATTAGCGATTGTATGTAATCATTTTCTCCACCAGGAGAAAAACACCACTGGCCGATTGCCAGACT